TATTTTTAAGCCAAGCATTTTGTGCTTTAAATATAAAAATGCCAGATTAATTTATGCCATGCCTTATATGCCTATAGACACATAGTGCCTAAACTTGTGCCTAGCATTTTAATGCCTATGTTTAAAAAATGCCTGGAAAGTTAATGCCAAATTTTTATAGCATGGCAGTGCCAAGGCATTTGTTGGGCACGGGCATGCTGCTGGGCTGCAGATCCCTACAGCCTATGTTTTAAAAGAAAATCTATCACAAGATTTAAGGATTCTTATAGCCAAATCAAGACAGGGCTGTCAATATGCAACTTCTACTGCTTTAGAAGTTGCCGTTCTTATAGTCAGAGATGGTCAAGAAGTTGATTCTTCTAATTGAGATATTGTATTACATAAACTGGCGGTGGTTTCCAGCATATCTCAGAAATTCATTAAAGCTACAGCCCATTGCATTATATTTTGCTGTTTCCATATAGTGAATCAGGATGGTATCCAAATATTAAGCTAAATGATGAACAACATATATCTACAACTATTGTTGATTCAGATAATGCAAGTGAGATTGAAATTGACGCTACAAATGACAGTACAATTAGAGACTGTATAACTATGATGCAATACTATATATATCAATTACAGTTGTGAATTTCTGAACCTAGTGAGATATTTGTACTACATAGAGCTGGGCGTCTGTTTTAGCAATATATCATAGACACATATGCTTGCATCAAGCAAAGTTAACTGAATTACTTGAGATATAATCAGAAAACAATTCGATCTGAACTATATAGTGGGCTTCAAGATGCTCTTTCAGTAAGTGATGAACTTCCAAGTGAACTTTGTATAGGTCATCGAATTATTCTTTCATCTAGCTTTATTGGTGGCCTATAGCATATGAAGCAATTATACCAAGATGCCATTACCATTGTTGGGCAGTTAGAAAAACTGGACCTTTTCATAATGATGACTTGCAACCCAAGATGGCCCAAAATTCAAGCAGAATTACTCTTAAGTCAAACAGCACAAGATCGTCCTGACCTTTGTGCATGAGTTTTCTGGTTAAAATTGAGTGCATTGCTTAAAGATATTGAAAGAAGTGAATTTTTGGATGTGTACTTAGATATATCTATGTTATTGAAGCTCAGATGTGTGGCTTGCTACATGTTTATATGCTATTCATCTTTGCATCAGAAGACAAACCCTATACTATTGAAGATTTTGATCGCATCATTTCAGCTAAAATACCAGATCCACAACAATATCCTGAAGAGTACGAAACAGTTATCAAGTGCATGATGCATGGACCATATGGCCTGTTCAATATGAATGCTTTATGTATGCAAGATAGAAAGTGCTCAAAGTTGTATCCAAAAACATTTCAACCTGTTACCTGTCAAAATGAGGATGGATATCTGATTTATCGTCGTCGATATAATAAATAAACAGTTCAAGTAAGAGACGTTATACTTGATAACTGCTGAGTCATACTACATAACCTTTATCTGTGCAAAAAGTATCAATGCCATATTAATATAGAGATTTGCTTTTCAATACAGGCAGTGAAATACCTTTTTAAATATGTTTATAAAGGCTATGATAGAGCAACCGTAGTCATTAGCAGTAATAGCAACAATAATATAGCAACTACATCAATTGCAGAAGCAAATGCAGAATTAACTGTTCAATCAACTGTTGAAGCAAAATTAGATGACAAAATCAAGCATTATATTGACACATGCTATGTTTCTGCTTCCGAGACTTTTTGCCGAATAATGCACTATAAAATGCATAATGAAGTACTAGACATTATACGCTTAGTTGTTCATCTTCCTGGGTATCACATGGTTATATTTTCTGACAACGAATCTCTTGAAGCAATTCTACAACAAGCGTAAAATGAAAAATCAACTTTAACAGCATGGTTTGATACTAATAGAGATCCTACACTAGCACCAATTGCGAGTAAATATACTGTTAACATTAAGAAAAATGTTATTTTGAAGCATATCTCCTCAACCACCAATCCAATCAAGATGAAATTACTACCATTCGAATCAGCTCATCGAGACGAATCTAAAGATGGTGAGATCATCCAACTTCAATCACAGGAAGCCGAGATATCATCAAAAATGTGATTTACTCAAGTGACTTAAATGTAGATCACATGTGTTACAATCTGATTGGCTGATGATCAACTGCGCAAAATGTTATACATATAACATATCTATTCTCTATCATTTTTATACCA